CTATCACAATTATTTTATTAACCTAAAAAGTTTGTAATTACAAAGTGAATGAAAAATAATTTAACAAATAAATAGCTACAGAAAAAATGGCTGTTTTTTTCATTTTCACTAATATAGCAAATACAATAAGAAGCAACATGTTATTTTACCGAGAAAACAATGCAAATTGAAAATAAATATCTGTCTTACTGATATTTCTACTCAGACACTGGAGTTTTTAGAAGTGATATAAAGTAGTTTTATTAGTGATATAAATATTATTGTTGTTCACCAGGATAGCTGTGTAGTCATGTAATTACTTGTGTGTTTGTGTGTTCCTGTCTGCCTGTTTGTGAACAGGGTTAATGAATCAGTGGAAAAGTGTGAAAGAAACACAAATAATAACTGGATGTAACATCTAAACTCATTAACCTTTGGAGTCGACTCAGTTCAAGAGGTCTGGTAGGTTGCTTTATACAGAAAGTTTTGTGATGCTCACATCAATGATGCCAGGGAAATCAAACTCTACTGTGCACTTTTAGTTTTATTTGGCTTGTTTGCAGCATTTATGACTCACTTTCAATTGAATCCTTTAAAAGCTTTTAATCCACTTCCCCTCCTGTAATAATGTCTGTGTTAATAATTAATGAAATAAATGAAGAAGCATCTCAGCCTGTTTGTGACATGGTTTTACTTTAATACCTAAAATACACAAAAGCTGATTTACACCAACTAATACAAAACTGCAGCTGAAACAAACATCTAAACCAGTAAASTCTAAAACTATTTTCCAGTAAAACGTTAAGTTTTCATTTAATGGGTTTTTGTATCAGTTAATGACAGAAGCCCCAAACAGCAACACGTAAGTCGAAAAGAGATAAATTGCATGAAACAAATCAGCTCAACAAATCTGGAAACAAGCATGAAAACAAGACAAACAAAATGTTAAACCCTTTTTTCAACCGATATGGTTCTAAAGATATGGTTCTAAAGTGAACAAGACCCCGAGATACTTGAGGAGTTTAAGTATCTCGGGGTCTTGTTCACGATTGAGGGAAGAGTGGTGCGACAGGAAGATTGGTGCTGCGTCTGCAGTGGTGCGGGTGCTTTTTAGATTAGTAAATGAAAAGCTAAGGAAATGGTGACTGTGGTGAGTAAAGTGCGATCGTGCTTATTTCCATATTTGATTTTATGTTTTGTTTACAGTATTGTGTAAAAGTTTTAGATCACATCTAATAGAAMAACCAGACTTTTTTCACTCCGGTTTTCTGAAGGCGGACTTTCCTCTGTACATGACTGCAGCAATCCTGTAGCAAKGTGTTAGTTTTATGACGTTACAAGGACAATTTTTGCCTGATCAGTGCACAGTTACATTGTTGTTACATTGATCCAGGTCTGCAGACATGAGCTCAAACACAAAATCACTTCAAAAACACTTCACAAGGACATGGTGTTTCTTGTTTCTGCAAAGTTCAGAAACCAGACAATGAACTCAGAATGTTCTGATCATCGGCACWTTCAGCCTAGTTTTAATGGAGGTTGGGATGAGGGATCGAAGGAAAAATTTGCTTGTTTCCTTAGACATTTTTTTTACCAATTCAGTTTGTAATATAATTGATTGTATTGTGATAAAACTGCATTGCATAATTAAACCGAACTGAATTCGGTCTGATGGAGGAGTTTCATCAGACTCCATTTTGCTTCAGAGCCATTCAAAACTTTGACAGCCTTTCAAGACAAAACTCACTGTGGGGCAACTGAAAGAGTTTTATCAGAACACAGAAAATGCATTAGTTGAGTCATTGTGGGATTTACAAATCTGTTCTCAGCTGCTCAAATACAGTTCAAGATGGGAGTTTTTTCTTTTTTTATTTTTTAGAGAAGAAAAACAAAAGATACAGTCTGGATATGATTCTGGCAAAAACCCGGACAAAGAACCACAAAGGCATAAAAGATTTAAAAACAAAAGCTTTTTCTTGTTTTCTACCTTTACAAATACATTTTAACTCTTTGTGCTGCTGCTTCTTTCACAAGGTTGATGAATGCATTATTTAACTTTTCCTGCATTAAGTATTTAACTCTAAATGCACATCTTTAACAGTAAATTACTTTTGTAGCAGATATTGACATAGAAATATATCCCCCCCAAAAGTGATGATGGATACACCGACTTGGAAGGTTCGAGGGCACAAACCTTAAAAGATCAACTAAAGCAATAAAATAATAATAAATAAGTAGAATAAATAAACTGCCTTTGCGTTCTTTCTTTGTGGTGACATTTATGGTGGTATCATTGCCACTGTAATAATGACCCAACTGTGCAAATGATTCATGGTAAGATAATAAAAGCAGCAATTCATTTTGCAAAGCAGTTAGATACTAATTGTAATGACATTTCTCTAAAACTTCCCACGACTTTGGTCTTGAACATTTTAAACGTTTCTGAGGTCAACTTAACCCACTATCCGACTGCGATCACTATCGTGACTCAGCGAGGGGTCTTGTTCTGATCTCACAGCTTTGATTTTTTCCCCTCAATGTAAAATAAAAAGTCCAGCAAAAACCAAACAGCTGTCCTGATCAARTAAAAAAGCAAAAAAAAAAAAAAAACTATTRGTTGTAAACCTGGCATGAACCTCTCATTTTAAAAAACTTCAAGCAAAGTTGTGTCAATTTTGATGTGATGTTTGTACCTTTGTGACTGATATTTGTCCAATGAGAAAAGTGTTTAAGTTGATGTTAACACAAAGCTTTATGTGTAGCCCTAATATTCATATCTTCATTCTGATTTGTACACAAAACCCCTGAAATGCTTTATTTCCTCATTTTTCTGGATTTGCAAAACAACCACCCTTTGCTCCATCCTGTGGAAGTCCATCCGAGCTCACATCTCTGCTATTAAACAGCACTTGTCCTCTGTAAGGCTCCTCTTTATTCCCTGTAGTGAGCCACCAGAACCAGTTTGGGTTTACGGTCGACAGCAGCAGGWTCTTCGGACCCGGCGTRMCCCCGGTCCGTTYAATATGGAGACACGTCACCGGCTTGCTGTGCGGACCCGTGGACGGAGTTGGACGTGGGCACGGCCGTGGACAGAGCAGGGGCGGACACGTGGACGTCTCTCTCCTTGCGGATGGTGCGCAGTGTCTTTGTCATGCGTGAAAATGTGTGTCCGGAGCCTCGCTCGGTATTGGAGCAGCAGACAAACGCCCGGAAACATCTGGAAAACTGCACAACAGACAAACAGCAGCAGTTGGAAAGGACAGGTTTACTGAATAATGTCACATCACACTTTAGGTTATAGGAAGTCTTCTAAATCAATTTTGTGGATTTGTAGGCCTTAAACAGTGATTCATGGAAGGAAAAACTAATCAGAGTCCATCACTGTCTAAAACACAACACACACACACAAAAAAAATTTGCTTYAAAAAACTTCAAACAAAATCTGTAAGTCAGGGATTTTAAAAATAGATATACGTCAAATACTGTAATTGACATAATTTCCTTTAAAAATACTTGAAAGACCTTAATGTATTCCACACATCTGAAATTCTGAACCTTTTTRCAGTTTTGTTTTTTCTCCCTCCACGTCTGCAGTCCAGCAGGCTTCCCCTGAATAAACGTAGTGTACTTAGTATACTCTCCAGTTCCACARGTATACTTAAAGTCTACTACATTTCTCCACGGTGCTGCAGGGTAAAAACAGGTGCGTGACATTAACCATAACTTATTACTTCATCAAGTTTCCTACAGTATGCTCTCAAAACTAGTCATAATATATACAGCAGGTAAAATAAGTATTGAACACGTCACCATTTTTCTCAGTAAATATATTACTAGAGGTGTTAATGACATGAAATTTTCACCAGATGTCGGTAACAACCCAAGTGATCCATACATACAAAGAAATCAAACCATAAATGTCCAGGGGTCGGATTTATAAAACAGGCGTACGCACAATTTGAGCCCAGAAACTTGCGTACGCCACTTTGTACGCC